GTACACATGAGCGTTCTTGCTCATTTTGCCTCCGAGATATGAGCAAAAACGGGACGGAAAACATGAAATTTTGGCATAATCTTGCACCTAAGTGTTTGATATTCAAATTTCGCTTTCTGGGCCACCCTTGCACAAAACGACGATCATTTTTCTAAGTTCATAAACAACAGAAGACTGTATTTTTTCTACATAACCCCCCCTAACTTTAAAGTTGGATCCGCCCCTGTTTCAAACAACCAGCTTTTAATGGGTTGCAACTTTTCTCCTGGACTGAGTGTTTCGGGCTTTTGTGTCGTCGTGTCTTAAACACAAACAGAAATAATTTTCCTCGAAAAACACACCAGTTTCTATATAATGTTGTTGCAGGAATTGCTACTCTCGTAGTGTAAATCTTGTATAAGGCGCTTTGGATATTTTTCAGCCAGCGCTAATCGAAATTCTGTAAATATACTTCACTGTTCATTTTATAGTTATCCTGTTATGCTTAATGGATCAGAACGTTTTCCGAACCGATCTAAATTTAAGTTAAAGAAAACAATCGGGCTTTTATTGCTCAAACTGTTTGCCGAGCAATTAATCCCATTCGGTATTCAAAAGTTTCCATTCGATGCTATCTGCGAAGTTGATTTATTTGGGTGGTTTAAATTGTTCATCATTTTCACCGCGCTGTTTATTAATAATTGTGCATTATTGTTGCTATGAACCTGAATGGTTGAAATGGGAAAAAATCCGGGTTTTAAACCGGCTTGAATAATTGCTAGAACGTGTTTTGACGAATGAACCGTCTGCTTTCAATATACATTACCAACCATAAAACGAAATTAATTGTATTCTGCCGTTAACTAGAGGAACATTGTCAATTAATTGAATTTTGTAATAAGTGTGGCAAAGGTCAAAGTGATTTATTGGGAATAACTGGTTTGGTCGTTCGAAGCCGCAAAAAACCGTATTTTGTTGCTTCGAATGGCAGGTTTTAAAGAAAAACCCCTTTGCGCTGCTGAAGCATCCGCATCACTGATTAATTCCTATTTCGTGGATGTTTGGCTGGAGACCAATTTCAGCAAAACCCATTAGTTCAGTGCTAAACGAGGTTGACCATGTCGAATCGCTTTTGTGCAATCCACTGTTACATTATGACGATTCTTGACTGTTGAGCTGGTTATTCAACTTACCCTGTTTTCTTTCAGAGCTTCCCATTATCTTCCGTCGCTCTCTTCCGTCTACGCAACGCTCACTTACCACTCTTTGACGATACCATGAACTGACTTTCGCCAATCATAAGAACAGCGACGTGTCGGTTTCCATTGGCTGTGACCTGCTCAATATGACCTCATTCATGTCCAAGAAGAAGAAGTACAAATTCCAAGTGGAAATATGCCTGGAGGAGCTTTTGGAGGTGTCCTTTGTGGCTGCCGTTCTATTCGCCAAACTTCGTCTGCTGGATGGTGGCAGCTTTCAGGACCACAGCAGCAGGTACTTATGTAATGTTTTACATACAAAAAGAGCGCTGGTTTAAACAGTTATGACTCTTGAGCGTCTTAAGCCTGAATGTTTTATAGGAAAAATAGCGCAGTTTGATGCTCTATCCAGGAGTAACAAGTGGGAGTCTGTTGCTCTATCTGTTCTCGAAATATACGCTAGTCTAAGCGCAGTTTTAGAAAAAAGACATTTTAACATTCCCAAGATCGTTCTCAGGGTTTTCTGCGTTGAAGTGGGTTTGTACAAAAAACGACACTTCAGTCGTTTTTGTACAAAATCTACAAGGACTAGTAGGGACGCGAAAATCACTTGAATTAAATTGGCCACTTCTGTTTATTATTATAAAAAAATCTGTAACAAAATACCCAACTGAAAGACCCTGGAGGCCATGTGTTCCACATCACATGTTAAATTTGGAAATGACATTGTTTTGTTACCGCTTTGACCGAGTGGGAAACGCATAAATAATCCGCTTCGATTGATAGTTATTTTACTCAAGTCAGATGGAGTTTGTCTGAAAATTCGCGCTCAACTATCCATCTTTGAACAGGTCTCACACGTCATTGTAATTTACTGCAAATTACTCATCAGCTTGTCTGATAAAACCTCGTTTAAACACTGATCACTTTATCGGCTTAACAAGGAATTTGCATGTTGTACTTTAGTATTTTACAGCATTAATAGACTATTTTCCATAGGCAAATATTTACGGCTGATAATTTTCCTTGGAAGCTCGCTTCATTGCTATACAGGGTGTTATACGGAGGATTCGCTAGGTAACAAATAACTGCCTAAGGACACGTAATGAGGGAGCAAGTTTTGGGTGTAGTTTGCCCAGTTTCAATGTCCAAATCAAATAATTATTGCCAATTTTCCAAGTAGTATTTCGACTGGCCAAGGCTGACTGAGTCCAAGGTTCCAATTGATGGCTTCAACAATCGCGGTTTAATTGATAGAGATTTCCGAATATTGAAAACCTTGTGCGAATGGAAGTGCACAAATCGATGACTGAAATCGTGACAGAATTTCGTGTCTGAAAATTCGTTTCAGTTCCGAAGCACGCAAAGGAACTTCGTCTTTGAGGGCCGGGCGGCGCACAGCATAAATTAACTCGATTATGCGATGCAGGGAATATTAACGAAAATAGCGGCCGGAAATGGCGCAACAACGGTCCGGATGTTCCGTTTTCGATGCAACGTGATATTTATTATTGGCACAGCTATTTAGGTCACACATTTACTGTTTTCTGGACGAATGCGTTCACCATTTTGTCTAGAATATTTTTTTATTCTCTATTTTGCAGCCAAGAGGTGCGAGACCACAAAGTGTCATGGGACGCAAAGTTCTCCTTCCCGTGCAAAATGATGGCCAACGCGTCCACTGGAGTAATGGAAAAGTGCATTTTGAGGATATCGATTCGGAAAGAATGCAAAGGAGGGCGCAGCTTCACCAAGGTGAGTCGACCGGCAAAAAAGCCCACTAAAACACACTAATAGCGGGATTCCAGTTGGGTTTTGTCGACCTGAATTTGGCAGAATACGCAGGGGCTGGTCTGATCCACAAAAAGGCCCTGCTGGAGGGCTACGATGCTCGGCATCGGCAGGACAACAGTATGCTCAAGTTCCGCATTCAACTCAACATGATCTCGGGCGATATTCTATTTAAAGCGTAAGTTAAAACCCACTTACCTGGTTCTATGTTGAGTGAGAAAACATTATTATTTTTTAGTCGAATTAATCTAAAAGGGCCTTTTTTTGTTTTACTTTTACGCAGGGACTTTTCATTCAAAGGAAACCCACATGCTTTTTTTAATTAATTGCGTTGGTTTATCGACAGCTATTTGCCATGATTTAAGGCTTACTTACAATTTGTAAATCATAACTTTGTTACGAGTTCAGTCTCAAAGTCGTTCTAATGGTGTATTTTTCTGCGCTCGCCGATGTTGCCACATGGAAAACACGGTTTTTTTAATAGCGCAATTTTAATCACTCATTGTTTCACTTGTATTTGCTTAGAAAAGTACGTACGCTCTTTGACAAATGACAGTCGCGAAGAGCGCATATATCGTAACTTACTCCTTGCTTAAATGACATGCGCAAGTCAGTTTGAAGTTACGTTAATCAAAACAAACTTCTATTTACCAAAACGGGTATGCACTAGGGCTCGGAATCAACCTCTAAATAAGCCGAACGGATAAAAAAGTGCCTTTGTCGGCACACTAATTGTAACACCGCGCAAAAGTTGTCAAAATTGCAAAAATGTCCCGAGTCACCACAACACAAACACGTAATTTTATATTCATTTGCTGGAGGGTAAATAATTATTTTCATTTGCTTGTAAATATGTAACTATTTGTTTAAATGCTTGTAGAATATGAATAA